AGGGCTTAACATATCCTTAACATGTGTTTAGCAGGCTGTGGTGGTGTTGATTCCCTTTTCCTGCACATTGCAGATAAAGAGAGCAGACCTGGAGCCAGAGATCCTGTCATCGACGGAAGAACCAGAGCTGTTCTACAACAGGGGCATTTAGAGACTTTCCTTTGTGGCCGTGGGCTCTGGCTGAAGGGAATGGTGGATGCACCAACAAATCCCACTGGCATTTGGGACTGAATGGTTAAGCTGTGGTGGCCCATGTACCAGATTTGGTGTATGATGGTGTGGCCTGTAAAGAGGCACAGCTTGGCAGCAGGGCTCTGCAAGCCTGGGGGCAGAGACACGCACATCACTTGGTGCTGGAAGTGGCATTTGTACCAGAAAGCAGCACAACACAGTATGTGTCACAGCCTGTGTTCTGTGCTTCCTCCGCTGATTGATTCCTTAATTAAAAGACTGTTGAGTACACGAGTTTGTCCTGTTGCTGCTGCAGGTTTTGGCACGTTGCTTTCCAGGAACACAGCTGGGGAAGGCTTGAACATCACTGCTTTGGGTAAAAGTCAAGCTGGTTCTTCTCAGAACACTTTGTGTGTTTCAGTGAATTTAACAACACTCATTTCAAGGTTGAGAGGTGAGTGAGGCAGCCCTTAAAGTGGTACTAAGGCAAAGCCACCCTGGTGGCAAGATAATGTTGGCTAAATTTAGTTGTTTAAGAAGTGTTCAGGAAATGGGTGTCAAACTTGACTACCAGTTAATTCCTGGCTTTCTCGACATCCTTGAAGGAGTTGTGGGGCCTGATGCCCCTTGAGCTTTACAACTTGGTTTTTTTTACACTGAAGCCCTTGGGAAATCCCTTTCTTTCTGACCTTGTGGACAATGAGGAATTCCCAGTTTTGCAGGTTGACGGTGTTCACCCAAACAAAAGAAAGCTCTTTTGATATGTGGCATAAGGGTGATCATTGCAGTGACAGGTTTTGCTGATTCTACAGAATTATTCAGGGGCCCACAGCTGTCTGGGAAGAGCTGCAGGAAGAGCTGGCAGTAGCAGATGTGAACCCCTCGGGGTGCAGTGCACAGCTCACTGCTCTCCTGTTGCTGGGGGATTGGAGTTCTTCTCACAGTGTGAGGGAACCAATGGTTTCCCAATCCAGTCTATCCCACAGGAAAGGCAGCAGCACAGAACAAAGTAAGGAGAAACAGCAGGCCTGGTCTCCTGCAGGAAAAGGATTCCTGCTGTGCTTTTGGCACTGAACAAAAGCAGGAAGTTGGGGGTTGAGTTTCGTTTCTTGTTTGAGTTCTGCCTGTTTCTGAGCCTTCCTCTAACAACTCACTGCAGGGAAAGGTCAGGCAAGGGGAGAGGACAGGAGCAGCACATCCTAAGGACCTGGAACTTGAGGGGAGCATGGTGTGAGGCTGTTCCAGCAAGACCAGGTGGATACTGCCTGCAAGTCGCCCAACCTAAGTGTCAAAGGGTTTGCACTCCTGCACTGGAGGATTGCAGGGATTTTGTTAGAGGTAAAGGGCACTCCTGCCCTCTCCAGGGGCAGCTGGGAGGATGCTGGGGAGGAGGCTGGCCCTGCTCTGGGTCAGGTGGAACAGGCTTAAGCCTCAGGCTGCCTCTCCCAGTGAAGATTTTTTGTCTCCTTCCAAACTTTTAATAGTGGAGGCACAGCTAAAATCCTACAGTTAAATTCTCTAAACCCTTGTTTCTCTATTAATCCTATTTCAGTCACATACCAAAGGTAAATGCAGGTGGGGTCTAATTCCACTCTCAGTAAACATTATTAGCACTACAAGGAAGATCTACACCTCTCCCCACTCTTTTTTTAAACCTAAAGAATGGCTAAAATAAATGCTAGTTACATGAACCACGGTGGGAACAAGGAAAAAAGCCCAAAACCTACAGTAGAGCAAAGCCAACAAATAGCAGATAATATATTGGTGACCTTTGAGTCGTCATGGTAACTAGACAAGCTATAAATTCCCTGGCACCACACTTGGATGTTTTAAGCAAATTGATGTCATTACAGCTCTGTGAGTAAGGCTTCTGGAATAGGTCTGGTAATGGTGTCTGTTGTTACAGCTGCCCATTCTCAGACCCTACCACTGAATACTTGAGCTGAAATTTGCCATATTAAACACAGCTCCCTCAGGATTATTAAATACCTCTTTCCCCCCTTCTCATAAATGTTTCTGTTGCCCTAACCAGAATTTTCCAGAAGAGAAGGGCAGGGCCTGCCATTTAAATTGTCAGCCTGGGTGATTCAGCTGCTTCCCAAGTCAGGGCAGGGAAAATACCCTGGAAAGGCCCCGGCATCCTCAGTCTGGAACTAAAGTCACTGAGACTGGAAGTGCCAGGACCAGCCTCCTGAGAGCCCAGAGGTACAGGTGAGGGGAACAAGACTGGGACAAGCAGCAAAGCATCATGTTTGATGGGAGGAGAGTCAGCAACTGCAGGAAACCTCCTTTGTAACCTGGAACAGATTAACAACATACCAGCACGAGGCAGGTCTGTCTCCTGCCTTAGTGCTGACCCTTGTGTGAAGTGACAGTGCATGAGTGGTGGAACCAGTTTAAGGTGTGGTGAATGACAACAGATGGAAGCTTCAAGGAAAACCAGCTCTCAGTACAGCACAATATGCCAGCTGTGCCCCACCTACTCAGCTTGTCTTCTTCAAATTTAGGAATATACAATGAGGCTTCCAGGTCCCTTTAATGTTGCTTAAAAAAAAAAAAAAAAAATCAAAGCCTTTCCCAGCCCGAGCTGTGTCCCTGCTTTACCCCCAGGCCTGTAACACAGCCACGCTGCTTTTCCACTCAGGCCCTGGGGTGGAGGAAGGAAGGAAGGAAGGATGCAGGCAGGGACAGAGCCCTGCACTGCAGCTCCTTCCCCCTCAGACAGCAAACACCACGCCACGTGCTGCAGTGTCCCTCAGGAAGGGGCTGCTGCCGGGCTCTGCCAGATGTTATGCCACAGGAACCATTCACCATTTTATACTTAACCGAGATCAGAAAGGCAGGAAGATGAGAAGATACAAATACAAATTTCAGTTTACATGGTCTTTGCTTCTAGGAGGAAGAAAGGATGTCATCTGACTGCAAAACCAGCAAGTGCACACACAGGCTGCTCATACACAGCCTGGGGAAAGGGAAGTGACAAATCAGCCAAAATCTTCCCCTGTCCTGACCTTGCAGATTTTTCTATTTTATTTTAAACCATTTTGAGAAGAAACAGTGCCAAAAGTCATTAAGAAAATGCAAGAGCATTACGACAATCCTTTGAAAGCACTGAAGCTGAGAGAGGGAAATACATCCTGTGCAGTGCTGACAATAAACTCAGCAGATGATAAAAGTGTTAGGACATGTAGCAGTGCATTTCCAACCAAAACTCCGAGCTACAGCTCAATGCCAGTTGTGACTCCGTGGTCACAACTAGTCAAGAATAAATTTACATAAATTAAAGGCTAGACTGCTTAGAATGTTTTAACAGGCATAAGCATGCTATGAGTCCAGTTCCTTAAGTGCAAAACTGTATTTCACCTGCATTGCAGAAACATCAGAAGATCTGATGCAACACTGAGGTTTCCACCTTCAGTGTTTCCAGGACAGAAAGCAAAACAGGCATTCAATGTTTAGTTTGCAACTGAGCTCCTCTGCTTTTTGTGGTTGTCTCTGGATATGCCTTAAGGCTTTTTGTTAATAAGAAATGATGCAAATTTCTTCTCATTTACAGTGGTGGTAAGACAGGTGGCTGAAGCAGATCCAGGTTTTTCTTGGTGAAAGACTTCAGTTTCAGTAGGTCCTGAATGGAATTTTCAGCACAGTTGTGCAGTTTTGCTATTCCAACTGTTTTAAAGGTCTCGAAACAGAAGCAGCAATATCAACCAACCATTAAAAAAAACAAACAAACAAACATTAATGGGCAAATGGGGAAAAAAAAGCCGTAGAGCACTTGCAGGTGAACAAAGGCAGTTACAATATTTTTCTCAGAAGTTAAAAAAAACCCTTAAGTACATGCTATTGTTCGGAAGTTAAACTTCAGACTAAGTGTTTAAAGTAGAATTTTACACCCCTGAAAATAGGGGATTGTTCTGAAGCACTTTCATTTCCTGACTGTAGTAACTATCCAGTTTATACACAGATGCCACATTCCTTAATCACATTCTAAAATACATTTCCTTAACATATGATACATAGCAAAAGAACAACCCTTTTTCCAACCAATATTGCTTGTAAATAGTTACTGGTGAACTCTACCAGTTTCAGAATAGCAAACATCCAATTATTTAACAGTATAAATATCGGTTACTAAAGTTTTATTCATAAGTATAAAATCTCTATGTAAACCCACATGCTACAGCCCATCTGTACAAAGGCCAGGAAAAAGATTATTTTTTTTTTTTCTTATAACAAAGTGCTACTGCAGAATTGACTGTTTTGTTGTGGACACTGCTGAACAAACACAGATTGTTTGGCTCAGAGCATTTCCCTCCAAGGACTCTCAATTCTTCTCAGAAGGTCACAGAGCAGTGAGCTTCGGGCTGCTCAGTGAAACACAAAAAAACCCCTCGAGTTATGGCCGTGCAACCACACAAATAGGCGAATTTGAGATTTTCTCTGAACTCTTTCCCAGTTTTCCCCATGACTTCAGAAGTTCCCATCTTGATTTTGTTTACACAGAGCACCATCAGACAGTGTTACAGCTCCAGTAAATCAAGAAGCTGATGCTCTCCCTGTGGTACCTTCCCTGTTGGGACATTCCTGGTCCATGAGGCTTTAACTCACCTGACTTTTTCGTGTGGATCAGGAATGAATGGCAAGGTCTCTTCTCAGCTGAGAGCCCCAACAACTTCTCGAGTGACTCCAGCTGTAAAGCAGCACCTGTCTGTGACCCCCTAGGAAGCCCCCTTTTAAACACAGCAATCCTGTACTCTTATCCCTCATCAGAGGCTTGGGACGGACTGAAAGGGGGGAAAACCTCTAAGGCAAGAGTCCAAAAGAGGTGCTCAACTCCCACCTGAGCTTCAAAATACCCCTTTCTGTATGTTCTAAGGCTACCACATCAGATTTTCCCAGACATCCTTTTTTTTTTTTTTTTTCCCACCTAGACACTTTCAAGTAGAAAGAAGAGAACTTGTCCATTTATTTGGGGTTTCCAGGAATCAGGCAATAATCAGGCAATCTGGAGCCAGAGCAGGCTGACACAGCTGGAAGGCCGGAATGAGCACTCAGCCCAGCTGCACGTTCAGGGTATCCCTGTGCAGAGATCAGCACATCCAAGCTGGGCTGCTTCTACAGGTCCAGGCCCCAGGAAGACGAGTCAGAGCCGTCCAGCCTCTGGAATGTGCAGGACAAAGAGCCCCTGGCATGGTGTTGGCACAGCTGGACACACAGGCCCTCGCTGCTGTGCACACACTCACGGCATGGCACGAACGCAGGAGCCACACGGACACAGTTACAATGTGGGAGGGGATAATGACACCAGGAGTGTTCCCAAAAATGTCTCCACGTTCCCAGGCAAGCTCCAATGCTCTGCATCACAGTAACTATGACATTCACTCCTATCCCTTGAATTTTTCCATATAGAATACCAGGTTTACCTCTCTGTATGGCACAGACAGTGTTTCTGAACTGCTCCATAACACTGCAGTGCATCAGGATCAGATTCTGAGCATTTGTTCGGCAGCTGCTAAATGGAAAAGGAAGTTTTCTGTAGCTGGTGGAAACCGCTTTTGTTTCAGGGCCTCGGAGTTAAGGGTTGGTTTTTCATTGCCATCAGAAACCTCAGTAAGTGAGGCTAAAATAGCCAGGACTTCCTTTGTCTTCAGGGAAATGTCCTTGAGGAACAGAGAAACAAGCAACTGTGAATGTTGTATTAGGTATGATAATGTTTTCACATACACTTACAAAAATAATTAATCAATACAGAAAAAAAAGGAAATAATGAGAAATGAATAGCTCATTTAAAACAAAGCTCCATTTACTCTGAGGCAAAGCTGCACCAGTTCTTCAGCCTGCTCTTGTGCAGTGCTGGATAAAGGCAGCACAGCCGCTCCACAGGCTCCTCTCCTGGCCTTACTGAGCTCTGAGACTGAAGTCACTCAGCTGTGAAATGTCTAATAATGTATCAGACAGGGCAAGAAGTGAGAAAAGCCATCACGATGAAAATCAGGCTCTATAGCTGAGAAGCCTCCTCTCAGCAGGACTTCAAGTTATTGACAATACTATTGACAAAGCACTGAGCAAAATCCATGCCTTGTGGAATGAAACTGGGAAACCAGTCTAAAAATCAATAGACTTTTGGAAGTTTCTTCAGCAATGGAGTTACCCAACAAATAATACAAACCAAGTAAGTTATCCTTAAAAATCTGTAGGATGAATAAAAATGCTCATTTGTAACAAGGCAGAGGGTAAAAGAGACTGACTGATTTTCAGGGACAATTTTCCTCCTACACCCTCCTTCTGCCAAGATTTAGCAATAGAAGTAAGTTAACTAGATTTAAAAGTAAAATATTAACCTTAATGACTTGGCTGTCTGATTTATCTGGATCTTCTGCAGATTGAACAATTAGTTGTCCAATTTCCTTGTGAAGTTTTCCCATTGTCATTGCCTCTGTGTAAGAAAGAAAACAACACCACACAGTCACACAAAATCAGCTTTCCTGTGATATCCAGAAAAGCATTTGAATAACAAGCCAAATTGAGGAGTATTTTCCTGCCTACTCTTTGAAATCTACTGGTAAAGGCAGTAACTCGGCATATCAACAGGTATCTGCATCCAGCTGGAAGTCTCTTCCATGCAACTGTCTAACATGGATGCTGTGAAATCTCAATTGTGCATTTGTTGGAAGCAAAGGGTGTCTTTTCAAAGTCCAACTTCCAGCAGTGTTGCAATCAGACTAGAAGACAGAAGCTTACACACTGAACTTCTCAGAACCCAGATGGAAGAAGGATCAAGAGGGCTTGACCTACAGCCAGGTTACTGCAAACTCGGGAATAAATGGCCTCTAAATCCCAAACACAAACAGCAACCAACCTTTTACTACAGGGGAAACAGTGATCTCACTGTCTGCCAGATTCACATACACATCATAGAGGTCAGGCCTGCTGTTCACTTCAGAGTCTGTAAATCCAGCAATGTAACCTAGAGAGCAGAATTCAGCACGATTAGGACCCCCATAAACAAAACCACACCAAAACCAAGATAAAACCACGGTCCTACAGTCTGTTCTAAGAGTTCTTGACACAACAGTCACTGGACCCAGGAGGTTGATACTCTTGACAGTATCAGTCATTCAACGAGCATGTTCAGGAGAGGCTTCATTTCCAAGGAGCTTCAAAATCAGCTTCTAAAATTGCCTTGAACACGAACAAACCACTGACACTACAAGCAATATCATGAGGTTATCAATTTGGAATTTTAAACTCTCTTCCTACCTCGCTACTAAAATTACTCTTTTGCAAATGAAAAGGCCACTGGACTTTCTCATTTAAAAAATCACCCCTCTGGAGCCCTTTGTCAGGAAGTCAGGATTAAACTGGCATAGAGAAACAAACCCAGCAGATTTTCTGATTTACAGCAAGCCAGGTGAGCAAACTAAGAGCACTTTTTCTCTGTGGAAGGTGTTTAGAGAGCTGAAAAAAGCACACAGTAGAAATGCTGAAGATGAGTAGTCTTGTTGCTCATTATTCTGCCTAGAGAAGCCTCTTAATGGCCCTCTCAATGATGTGTCACGTTAAACTTTGCATAAAGCAAGGGCCTGTTCCTGGATTATGCATTCAGCCCTGCACACACACACAGCAGTGTGTCACACAGACCAAACCCCAATGAAGTCTACCCGTGCTTAGAGACCTCACTGGCATCAGCATCAAAATCTGCAACTTCAGAGCTAGGAACTCACAGAACAACAGGAAGATTCGGTTACAAGTGATGGGCACAAGCTGGGAAACAAAATGCAGTTTATCTCAAGTGAGCTGCTTTTGTGCAACAGGAAGACTTTCAGATCACAACATCAAAAAAGTCCCAAGGCTGCTTTGCATCTGTGATGAGGGATGGATAGACTGATGTGGATCCACCCAAACCCACCAGATTAACTAGTCATCTTCCCACACACTTGTTTAGTTGATTTGCCTTTTCTAAAGAAAATGATGCTGTTTAACTTTGAGCAATAAATAGCACCAATAGCAAAATAACCTTTTTTCCTCCCAAGTGCACTGGTGCTGCAGCAAAAGAAAGTATAATTAAATTTTCTTTGTATTTTTGATTAACAAATTATCACTACCTGTGCAGGCCTTTAAGGCTTCCACCTCCTCCTCATTTAGGTGCACGTATGAATGAAGAATTGACCAGTCTTGTCGATGCCACACTAAAGCAGGCAGGGTCCTGGGGGAATTGGACACACAGCAGATTTTTATTTATGCTATCTAAAGTGTCACAGGATGAAATGCATGCCATGAGAATAAACAGTTATGACTAGGTCTCAGTGGGGGTGGATATACAGGAATCAGAGAGATTTCTGCTCTCAGTGCAAGCAGAGCTTATTGCTCATCCAACCCTTAAATTTCTCTGGGCTGAGGAACACACAGCTAAAGCCTTTAGAGGGATTTAGCAGAATTTCAATAAACAGGTTTAAGAAAGATTTTCTTCCTTAAAATACGAGCTTTTCTCTTAATGAAGGTTCAAAATTTCTTGGATTCTGGGGAGGGGTGTGAAGGAAGGAACTGACAAAGTACCTGGTAAACTCCTGGATAGCCTCTATTCTAGGATGGTACACTACAATTCTCTTCTTTAACATCAGTGCTGTATACAGGATAACTGTTTCCATTCCAAACTGAGACACTATATCTAGAAAAAAAAGGGGAAAATCACTGTACAGAAGATATGCATGCTGATACTGGACTGATTTTTGAGGAAGCTAAATAATAACAGCACTGTTTAGCACTGTTACTTGAAGCACACAGGAAAACTGGATGGCATTTTATATTGTGGGATAAAATCAGAATAGAGGCTCGTGGCAGTAAATAACCTTTGATGGAACCAGCAAGGTAAGCCTTCCGAGCATCGAAATCCTTGCTGAGGAAAGAGCCGTTTTCTTCACTCTGGCAGATCCCTTTTGTGAGCACTGCAATGTAGCTCTCCATCATTTTAACTGGGCTCCCATGCTTCAGGTAGATCCTGGGTGAGAAGAAGAGAGCCTGCTATTTAAACTGCAAACATCTGAATATATGCATAGATATGAAAAATAAAAGGTTAAAAATCAGTACCACAAACAGCAATATTATGGGCAAGAATTCTTAATTTTGGACACCCAGTTGTGGTTTTAAATGCTAAACTAGAAGCCTTCCAACAAGCACACAAATACATGTCTGTCTTTCAGGGTATAAAACCACCTTGTATTCTTATTTCAGGTTCCTATTTTATGAAAGAAGCAACACTGGCTGAGATAGAAACACACCCCAAAGGTGTAGGCGTGTCCCAGACTAAGGATTCTTTGCAGCCTTATTGAAAAGCAACTACCATAACTCCTGTTATTGCATGTAGACCACTTGACCAGTTAGTTTTAGTTATCTGAGTATCATTTGACATTCTTCTGTACTCTTTGATGAAAGAAAAATATAAATATGTCCTTGACACTCATTAAAAAACCCCAAACACCACAAAGGAACCACACACCAACAGATCCCATCCAATTTTAGGTGTCTTCCACTGTAATAACCTATTTTACAGGTCGAGGTACTTCAGGAGCAGCACTGAAGCTGCCAGCCACCCATTTTCCATGTTACCCACACCGAGTTGCCAGCAGGTCGTCAGAACAAAGGCACCACAACGAAATGTACCCTCCAGCTTTGGCAATGTCTCCCTCTGCACTGGGCAGCAGCTCAGCCCAGCTGTACACACCTGCACAGGATCCTCGTGAAGGCAGCGTATTTCTCTGGGTTGAAGTCTTTGGCCGTCAGGACGATGGAAAAGTGGGTCACCTGTGCGTGACGGGCACAGAAACACACAGAGCTCAGTTCATGACCCACCACCAGCATTGTTTGTCACATCACTGACCTCACTGCACGACTGACAAGGCATTTCACTTAAAAACACCATAAAACAGTGAGCAGCAGCAGCAGCTCTAAGTTCCTCAGGGCAGGGATGGCTGGGTAATGTGACTCAGCTCTAGTACAGACTGTCTTTTGCTTAATCTACACCACAAGAGTTGCTTTTCTCTTGTTTCATGAGATTATTAAAAAAAAAAAAAAAAAAGAAATGCATTATTTTTCCCCACAGCAGGTAGGGAAATTCCATAATTTGTTGCTATGGAGGCAGACAGCATCAACACATTAAGAAAGAGACTGGAAAAAACCACACAGATAGCAGGGCCAAAAACAGAACTACTCTTTAAACTTCCTTAATCCAGTGACTGTGGGCTGGGACTGTATGAGCCTGGAAGTCTGCAGACAATGACCAGGCTCTCATGTCCTCCTCAAGCAGCATCTCCCACTGCTGCTGCCAGAGATAGAGCTGGGACACTTTATTTTATTTTATATTTTTTTCACCTTTAAGGTTTATAGGAAATGTAAGCTTGGAGTGAGGAGAGGCAAGAAATATTCTGTTGTGGGCATGTAAAATTGCCACATTATCATTCTGCTTAACAACATAGCATGAAATATGAAAACTGAACAACTGAATGAACAGTTTAATGATTTTCATAACAGGGAGAAGACAGAAGATACAAGCATATTTGCTGGCTTCCAGTAATGAAGGCAATGGAAAATAAAGTACCTATGTAACTTTACATAGAGGGAAAAAAAGCATTAAGTTCTATAATAACAAGATTTTTAACACAATGAAACAAACTTTGCAGAGAGAGACAAACCGCTGACAATGAAATACAGATTAACTAGAAATAATTTCATGAAAAAGCATTACCACGTTCACACACCTAATCTAAACTGGGTGATGAGTATCTCAATCATTCTGCAATTCCATCCAGTACACATCTTGGTAAAAAACAAAACGTGGACTGGTTGGACACCTGGATAAAAGCTGCATCTGTGAGCACACAACACCTCGAATCCCTTCGCTTCCTCATGTTTCCCTCAATGGGAAAACAGTGCTTAACCTGCAGAGGAAGCTCTGCAGAAATCTCCCCTGCATTCTACTGAAGAACCCCGCCAAGTCCTACCTTTTTCAAGGCTGGAGAATCCTGAACTTCCACAGTCGTGATGTAGAACCAAGACCTTTTGTACTGGCCAAACACAAACGTATGCAGCAATTTGTTCTCATCCGTGAGGCAGCACTTTCGCAGCAACAGAGTCCTCAGCTCAGCTGTTACAGACGGATAACACCAAACCCACAAAGCATCTCCGTTGGTGTCTTTTTCTATGGTGGAAAGATGTTCACTGTGAGAATGCCAAACAGCAGCAAGGGAGTAAATCGATGGGTTAATCAGGTTTGTTTCCTAGAACCAGATTAAAATTCCACTTTACCCTGACCCTAGACATCCAGCTCTGCCTCTACGGCTGGAGCCCGAGGGCAGCATCTCCGCTGCGGGCTTTATTATCGAAATGCTAATAAATATCCGCTCTTGACCCGCCTTACGAGGTCAGGGAAGCACCGGGAGTTTGAGTACACATCCAGTGTGAGCGAGGGATGGAGGAACAAGCCTTTTTACGGTTTTCCCCTATTTCTGATGTCGCAACACAGCGATGGGGAGCCGCGACTTTCAGGCACCCGGCCGAGCTCAGCGCGGCAACAGGCGGAGCCGGCACGGCCCTCCCGGCCGGGTCCGCAGCTCGGTGGGCCCCGGTACAACCCCGGCACCGCTCCGGCCCCCCTCGGGTCTGCCCCGGGACCCCCCCGGCCCGCGGGCCCTCACCGATGAGCCCCACGGCCCGCAGCAGCTGCGCCTCCGGCTCTGCCATCTTCGCCCCGCCGCCTTCCGCCCGCTCACCCGGCCCGCTCCGCCCCGGCCCGGCCTCCGCCCCGCCCGGCCCTCTCCGCTCCGCCCCGGCCCGGCCCGGCCCGGCCCGGCCCGCCTGGGGAACGCGGCTGGGAAGGCAGGGCTGTGGCCTCGCCCGCTGCGGCTCCTCCGGGCCGACCTGCCTGCTCAGCAGGGTCCGCATGTGGGGTATCTCCAGTGAGGAGAGATACCCCGCACCTGCTCCGGGCAGTCCGTGCTCAGTAACTCAGTAACCTGCACAGTAAAGAAGTTCTTCCTCGTATTCCCATGTTCCAGTTTCGGCCCGCTGCCTCTTGTCCTGTCGCTGGGCACCACCGAGCACAGCCTGGCCCCATCCTCTGCCCCTCCCTTCAGGTACAGACAGACAGTGATATGAGATCCCCGCTGTCCAGGGTGAACAGGCCCAGCTCCCTCGGCCTTTCCCCAGAGTGAGGTGCTCCAGTCCCCTCATCACCTCCATAACCCCCTCTTCTGCTGCCTCACACCGTAAGTCACAGGGCACAGTTCCTGGGAAATGTTACACAAAAGGAGGTGGCCCTGCTGGCAGCTGAGCTGTATCCCTAAGCACCCCAAAACACAGGCCTCCCTGTGCCTCTACAGAGTGGGTGAAGGCTGACTTGTGCCCAAGAGGCGGCTGAGTGAGGTGAGGAACACTCATGGAAGCAGAACAGCCATTCCTGAGTAACTCCAGGCATCAGCAAGGTTACTTGAAAATGAAAAGATCTCATTTTAAAGTTTGAAAGAACAATGGTACCTGAATGTTGGACTCCATGTCCTTAAAGGTCTTTTTTAACCTAAATGATTCTAGGAATACCATGGCAGAGAGCAACCACTCTCTGATTAGGAGAAGAAACTTCCAAAATACCTGGGATAAGCAGAGATCATCAGAAGCTGCTGAAGAAAACATGGAGTTCTGAGAGAGAGGCCAGGTCTGTCCCTGCCTGGCTGGGGAACACACTAAAGGGCAGCCTGCCATATGATCTTCATAAAGTCATAAAGTTAAAGCACACACATTTAATACACTCTGATACCATGCAAGAAGAGACACGAGGACTGAGGTCATAAAAGCTGCTTTGACACAAAATTGTCTTGATCCCAGGCTGGAGGGCTTTCAGGAACTTCAGGGACGTACAAAAAAAGTGGGATGGGCTCCCCAAAGGCAAATGGTGCTCTAATCCATCAATAAATACCAGGCAGCACACCCATCAGAGCTCAGGTGCCCCCCAGAGAAGGCTGCAAGGACTCAGGACAGACACTGGCTCTGGCCACACCGGCACAGGCAGGGGGTGCTGGCAAAGCTGCCACCCAGCCCTGGGGTTGTCTCTGGTAGTCACCTGACAGACACTGAAATCCATTTTATGAAGACAAGAAAAGCACGACTCAGTTCATTAATTTTATGAAGACTGTTCAGCACTATAAATAGCTCAGTGATGACTCTGCTTAAAGCAGCCAGTACTAAAATACTGTCATGTAAACCAATAGTGTGACCTGACGCAGAACACTGTGTACAAAACTGAACACTGGATCTCTAAGGACACCAGGACATGGAGAAAATTCCAAGTGAAGAGAGCCTGAAAAAGGAAAACTGAGGTTTTTTCTTCCTTTTTTTAACTCTAGAATGGAAAGGTGTCAGTGTTATATGGACACATTGATGGTGTGCCATCAGCTAAAGCTTCCATATAGTGGCTGTGTCTTTCTTTCACCTCCCGATTGCCTCGTCCTGATCCCCCTCCTGATCCGCTCCCCTCCCGATCCTGATCCCCTCCCAAACACGATCCCATCCCGATCCCAATTCCCCCACGGTCCTGATCCCATCACGATCCCGATCTCCCACCGTCCTGATCCCTTCCCAATCCCGATGCCCTCCCGATCCTGATCCCCCCACAAACACGATCCCATCTCGATCCCCCCCCAGTCCTGATCCTGTCCCAATCCCTATCCCCTTGCGGTCCTGATCCCATCCCAGTCTCGATCCCTTCACGGTCCTGATCCCCCTCCTGATCCGCTCCCCTCCCGATCCTTATCCCCTCACGACCACGATCCCAATCCTCCCCCGGACCTGATCCCGTCCCAGCCCCGATCCCCCTATGGTCCTGATCCCTTCCCGATCCCAATCTCCCTCCCGTCCTCATCCATTTCCCTCCCGATCCTGATCCCCTCACACGAACACGATCCCCTCACGGTCCTGATCCCCCCACGAACACAATCCCATCCCAAT